AAAGGTACCTTTTCTACTCCATATTATTTATCTATCACAAGCTATGAAAAATAAAGTTTGCCCCCCCCACTACCAAAAAAAAAAAAAGAACTTAACTCTTAGATTGGGAATAATTTCAACATAAAAGGTTTTTTTTTTTTTAAGGGATAGTAAACTTTACTGCCAAATAAGGTCCTGTTTGTAAGACTCTCTCAAATATATAAATATACTGACCACTTACAATTTTATTTGGCCAGTACAATAAAGTAAAAAGCAATTTATTTTTTATACATAAGGGTCTCAGATAATTGACATGGCAGTCCCAGTCATCAAGAGAAATTCCTTCCTTCCATTACACATAGTGGTGACAAAAAGCTTATCAGCAGATTGTTATGGCTTTCTTGATCATAAAGAAATGTTCCCTAGTTCCAATGAGGTGTAAAGGTCCATAAAGAAAATACATTAGGTGATCCAGGTTTTGACACTAGAAATAATGCATATTACATTCATAAGAGAATTTTGAGGGCATGGGCCATAACTTCTACAAATTTATAATAGAGTCCACAGCATTAGGCATATAATAGAAACCTAAGAAATATTTGAACGAATTACATTTCCATAGGCAATTCTTTATTTCCCCACTGTTTAGAGGCACAGTTTAAAATGGTGGTGTGGCAGAAGCCTTTTATATTAAAAGGGTTGTAGGAATGACTATGGCCCCCTCTCATCCTATAAGCACTTCCTTACTTTTTTGTGGATATTTACAACGTTCAGTGATAGAACTAAGCATTATATGATTAGATGCTACCAAATGGCATTCCTCGATCCAGCAACTATGTCATACTCATGCTGTGCTCCTTGGCTCCGAATTCAATGGTATATACCTACTGAACCACAGAAAGCCCCAAATGTCTACCTTAGAAATTCTTAGTGCCTCACTCTATCAAATATGATCTTGAAATCTGCAAAGTTCATTTATAAGAAACATCTACATTAAAATATTTCTGAGAACAAATTTCTAGGTGCTAAAAGTCACAGAAGCTGTTAGGTGTCTTAACATAAAATGGAATCCTGAAAATCAAAACCTTAAATTTTAGCTGAGTACTCTCAAGCCACCTTTATTAAATGGTTAAAATTGGAGGTTTATGTGGCAGAATACTAATTAGCACCAAACTATGTCATCTTGATGGAAGACCCTACCTCAGACTTTAAGTCTGAAAACAAGTATGTGAGTAACCTGAACATTCATTGTTCACAAAAGCTTATTTAGAAAGGTGATTTTACTCCCTGTTTTATGACAATATTCTCAATCAAGAAAATATCAGACAAGGCCTGTCTTGTACAAGGCATATATTCACTTTCAACTCAAGTCAGTGAATAAGTCAAAGCCAGTGTCCTTGAACTACCTCCAAAGGGCAAAATAATTTTTTTTAATTTAAAAAGATTATAGATATGCAATTTTTAGCCCCTGCTAAGCGCAAAGAGATGGAAAAGTAACATCCTGTGAATATATGTAGGGGTTCTTTGACCAAAGACTGGTCATCATACATAGGTTCCCCTTAAGGAAATGCTAACGATTTATAATTAAAAATAAGGCTGATAGATTTCCCAACCTGCTTCTGAGCTTTTAATATCTAATAACTGATATGTGGTAACACAGCTATTCTCTGTAGACTTGCATGATCAGACTTTCATTTCTGCAGGTCAGAAGATTCAAAGTTCATGTTCTGCACAAAGTAGAAATTTTTAGACTGTACCAGATATAGGTAAACTTTTATACTACATAATCAATGTTTTTAGGATATAGGATAGATGTCAAAATCATTTGAACCCCAAATTAATTTTCCTGTCCACACATATGTATTTCTATTTCTTCTTAAGCAAATATAAATGGGAAGGGAAAGTAGTATTCTTGAGAGTAAAATGCATGCCAGAAGTGCCAGCTTTTAGCTTTTGTGTCTTGAACGAAATTACAAGTATTATTTACTTAAGAAGGTATATATGAGGGTATACTGTATGGCAACTTTCACTGAATTTCAGCTCTGCAACACCAGGTACAAAAAAAAAGTTCTAAATATATAATAAAATACTAAACTTCAACATATCACTTTTAAAGTTTCCTTTTAATTTTCTGATGAAACATTTGAGGTACAACATTTAGAGTAAACACTGAAAATGAACATATTTGAATTCATTTGGTTTTAATTTTCATTAAAATTGGTTTTTTTACTCAAATCTTTTAAACATCTATTTGATTATAGTATTTTACCAGTCTCAAATTATTTAATAATTCTAATTTTATATCCAAAAAGTATTTGTCTGCCCACTTTAGAATAATTTGTAAATTAGTAGAGTGTGCTTATATTGACATCCTTGATATACTAAACTAATGGTTATTTAGACAATGGTAGTGTTCAAATTAGAAAGTGTCAACATCAACAATAGCATATGTTGAGTGCAAATACTTTCAGCAATTAACTAAATACCAGATTAACTACAATACAGAGTGTAAAGGACACGAGATTATCATTAAACAATATTTACTGATTACTTTCTACATGTCAGGTATTAAGTTAGCAATAAAGGAACCCAATGACACATTATGTTAGCAATAGGGCTAATATTTATACAAAAGATGGTGGACATGGAACCCTTCTTTGTTCTTTAAGGTCAATGAATGATTTGATAAGGAGTCTGTAACCTTTAAGAATTTCTTATGTTGGACTTATATTAAGTCATGGATACTCATTGTTTGGGGTTAGTCAAATGACAGATTACTTGAAATAAATAGAAACACACATTCTCTTTCTTCCTTACTCCGCCCACCATTGTGTTTACTCTCTAAACAGTTAACTGTGGAGCAACGAAATTATAAGCATGCATCTGTTTTATAAAGTTAATTATAATAATTTTATCCTAAATTTTTCTGACATGGCTGTCTGCATTTGAAGAAGGCTATGAAGAGTGATGACTGAAAGACCCACTGACATGTAACTGACGGTCCTTTCCCTCCTAAGCACAGGGAAGAGTGTTCTTTGATGTATGCCTACTATTTGTGGTCTGTTACTATTTCTGATCCTGACTCTTGGGTTCATTGCCTTTGCTCAGACGGTTACCCAAGAGTTTAAATTACACTTTTGCTAGACGTTTTTAAAAAGGTACTAATTATACTCTCACAGTTTAGTTAAGGCCATTGCTGTTTTTGATATATTGAGGACATAATGCAACTCAAAAGTTGTCATAATCAAGAATTCTTAACTATTGCCCACTGTAGTGATGTCACAATTACATAAGAATCATTTCAACAGCTTAACTAATCCCTACTCTGAGACTTTTAAAAGAGCAAATCAGAATACAGCACAAAATTTAAAATTTGTTAAAATGGCATTAATTGTAAATGTCCCCAAAGCTCCTAAACAAGTTAACTAAAACAGCATAATAAATTTGCCTGGGGCGCCTGGGTGGCTCAGTCGTTTAAGCGTCTGCCTTCGGCTCAGGTCATGATCCCAGGGTCCTGGGATCGAGTCCCACATCGGGCTCCCCGCTCCGCGGGAAGCCTGCTTCTCCCTCTCCCACTCCCCCTGCTTGTGTTCCTGCTCTCGCTGTCTCTCTCTGTCAAATAAATAAATAAATAAATAAATCTTAAAAAAAATAAAAAATAAAAAAAATAAATTTGCCTGAATCCATACACCCCTTAATTGTAATTTACAAACTTTAGAATGAAATGTTAATCATTTTATTCTTCTATATTAATCATTTCATCTCTTTTTACCATTAATTATCCTTTCAGTTGTTACTTTTATGTTATTTCGTTTAAAAATAGTACTAACACATGTAAGCCAACACAATATTTTCCTTTAAAAACAACAATACTATGTAGAAAACTGCTAACATTTTAAACTTTTTATAAAAATGTCTAGGAGTTGCAGAGATGGAGAATTTAATCGATCAAAATAAATTAGGACACCAAAATTCAAACTGGCAAAACACTTGGGCAAAAAAGTATCACAAAGCTTCCCGTCTTAGGAATCCAAATAGTTTGTTATCATTTTTATATAATCGCCAAAGCAAGAACTAAAAAAAACAAAAGACCCCCAAAACCCCCGAAAAACAAAAAAACACCCACACCCCACAAGAAAACTCGATGATAATGAAGCAACTAATTAAGTTCTGGACACCTTCTTCCTAAGGCATCGCGTTAATTCACTTGGAACTGTCCACAGGTTTGACATTTGTTTACCTGAGGTGTTAAATGCACCCACTCTCTGCTTCCCTGCCCTATTTGCACTTTTGAGAGAGGAGTCCCTTTACAAACAGGACTGGCTTTGTAACAAAGCAAGCAAAGAAAACAAACTGCACCTGGCAACCTCCAACCACTTCGACGTGACAGCACAACGCTCCAACTTTGCTGTGCTCTCAGAAGTGCGTATTTATGAAAACGCTGTTTGAAAAATGTGTTCCTTTTCAAACAGTTGTCATCTTAGAAGACATTCCCTGCCTCTCATTTGGAACTGAAACGGGTGTGGAAAGGGTCCGCTAAGCGTATTTCTCACCAGAAGTTCCACCCAGAGGGCAGTTACCGTCACCTGCAAGGCTCTGCGGCTGCGAAGGCGGGCCTCCGAGCGCGGGAACCAACCCGGACCCCCGAAGTCCGGCCAAGTCGAGAGCAGCGGCCACTCCGGTTTGTGTGCGGGGGGCCGGCTCGCACCTCTCCCCACCTCACGCTCCCAAATCCTTCTCTCCCCTCCCTCCCACGTCCCCAATTCTTCTCCCTCCCCAGCGCCCCCCAATCCTTCTCCCCTCCCTCCCACACCCCTAAATCTTCCTCTCCCTCCTCAACCCCCCCAATCCTTCTCTCCCCTCCCTCCCCCATTCCTAAGTTCTCTCCTCCCATCCCTCTCACGCCCTCGAGTCCTCTTCTCCCCCAAGCCCCCTCCTGAAGTTACTCAAATGCCCCCTCGCCTTCCTCACAGTTTTCTCGCACTTTCCCCTTAAAATAGCTCCCTTCAAGATCCCTGAACTCCCGCGCGACCGCGGGCCCCCGTCCCCCGACACTCACGAGAAGAAGGGATCATCCTCAAAGCTGCTGCTCAGCATCCCGAACATCGTGGCTCTGTCCCGGGCGGCGGCGGACGCGGGCGGATTGGAAAACGATGTAACTCGCCGCGGCCGCGACCGGTGCCAGCCTTCCCCACCCAGTCAACCCTCCTCGCCCAGCGGCGAAGGCTGTGCCCGCCGCGAAAGGCGGTGCGTGACGCCGAGCTGCTTTCCCATTGGGCGCTGGTCTCCTGGCGTCACTAAGACGAGGCGGGGACTAAAGCGCCGCTACCATGGCAACTGCGGTCAACAGAGTGGAAGCGAGAAGTCTGGCTTCCTGCCAGCCAGGCGACGAAGCCTTCTGAGGGACGAGATAGCTTTTTCCCGGGGCTGCAGGAACACAAAAATTAGACCACCTTCTGCGTGACCTTGGGCAAATCGCCCTCGGCCTCGAACCCCAACTCTCTTTTCGGGAAAATGGAAATGGGCCAAGATTTGGGCTAGATGGCTTCCAAAGATCCATTCATATGTCGCATTTTGTGATCCACGGGAAAGAGTCTTATATCCAAAACACTTCCGTGGTAGTTGGTCAAAAGCTGTGCACAAATACTGAGAATAAATGTGCAACAAGTTTTTGAGTACAGTTAATGTACTCAGTGCTTGCTTGAAGGAAATGAGGCTTATAAAATTTCACAAACTTCTTTGCCTTATATGAGTCTAAAATTCAAAGCAATATTTCCCAAAGTGAGAATGCTTAAGTTTTATGTAGACATGATCTTTAAAAACAAGATGAGCAAGTTGCTCTCTTTTTGGTCCTCTTTCCAGTCTCCATTTCAAGGAAGAAGTCTCACTTTGATGCCAGTGCGTCTTTAACACTTCTCCAGCATTCCTTAACCTAATAGAGTAGGACTCAGACACAACGCCTGCACCATATCCAACTAAAATTCCATTACTATAGGGCGCCTGGGTGGCTCAGTTGGTTACGCGACTGCCTTCGGCTCAGGTCATGGTCCTGGAGTCCTGGGATCGAGTCCCACATCGGGCTCCCTGCTCAGCAGGGAGTCGGCTCCTCCCTCTGACCCTCTGCCCTCTTGTGCTCTCTATCTCTCATTCTCTCTCTCAAATAAATAAATAAAATTAAAAAAAAATTCCATTACTATACAGTTTTGTTTTAATTATATTTATGTGTGAGCCTTCTGTTTATGGCAAGTGAAAATTGTTTTAAATTTAGAGCAGTGCTATACATCAATAACTAGTCTTTACAAATGTAAGTGAAAAAGTGAGCTAATTTATGGAAATAGTACAGGTGGGATTTGGATATGGTGCAGGGGAAGGATACATGACAGTGGTACTCATATTAATAAGTTTTGGAAAATTCTGTCCTGAGGCCTTCTATTAGTCTAAAGGCAGGTGGGGGAGAAGATAGAAGAGAGGACGTTAAAGAAAGAGAAGAATGATGAGAGTATAGGAAGAGAGAAGATGCATCTTGTATGTCTACCTTTAATACAGTGGGCTCCCCAGCTTCTCTAGGGGGCTGTCCTCTGGAGACAGAGGGCCATCCAGGGCTCCACAGGGCCTCCTGGGATCGGGCCAGAGAGGTGGCACTCTTCCAGCATGAAGAAGCATGCAGGACCTGATTTGAGGTGACAGGAGTACTCAGAGGTTATTTTGGGAGCTGGAAATTTAATCCTTTGGACCTCTTACCTCTGCACCTTTAGCCAAGTTTGCTGGCAGCCTCCTTTTCCTGAGACTAGTAGTGTGAGGTAGGGCAGATTTTACACTGTCCAAGTTAGGATAGCATAGCCTTTCCAGGGAATAGGCTATTTTCTTCTCCTCTGGCATCAGAATAAGTTCAGAAAGCATACACATATTAGGGATCTCTAAATTAGTTTCAAGGCAAAAAAAATTGTTTTAGAAGACTTGAAATTATTTTCTCTTTAAAATAGTACAACTCAAGATGTTCAGGAGGGCCACATTGTTTAGAAACTAAAAACAGGGGTGCCTGGGTGATGCAATTGGTTAAGTGTCCAACTCTTGGTTGAGGCTCAGGTCATGATCTCAGGTTCCTGAGATGGAGCCCCGCTTCTGGCTCCACTCTGGGCATGCAGCTTGCTTGCTTAAGTTTCTCTCTCTCCCTCTGCTCCTAACCACTCCCTAAAAGAAAAGCATCCTTAAATGAAATGAGGTAGATTATTGGTGATAAATGATAGTGTTAAAATAGCTTTGGGGGTGCCTGGGTGGCTCAGTCAGTTAGGTGGCTGCCTTTGGCTCAGGTCATGATCTCAGCGTCCTGGGATCGAGTCCCCCGTCAGTCTCCCTGCTCAGTGCGGAGCCTGCTTCTTCTCCCTCTGCCTGCCACTCCCCCTGCTTGTGCTCTCTCTCTCTCTGACAAATAAATAAATAAAATCTTAAAAAAATAAAAATAAAATGGTTTTGGATTAACTCTGAATAAAGCGACTTGTAAGGAAAAGTTCCCCCCTGTTCCCATGGGGATTTTTCTTAGACCCACAGTGCTGAAACCTGAAAGCTTTAGTCCAGGCACAGGTTAGTCACAGAGTTACCTGGAGATCCCAAGAATAATTTGGGTCTAATAGCAAATGCTTAAAAAAAAAAAAAGGCTTAATGGAAGAAAGAGGAGAGTTGAAGCTGAAGAGACAGCATCGTTTCCGATCTGATGGGAAATGAAAGAAGAGGTAAGAGAGGATGAATACCCCAACAGGGAGCAATAGGGTCCTGGATTTGGCTGTAAATAGAATCACAATAGCTAATATTGATTGTGTGCCAGGCACTGTGGTAAGCTCTTCATGTGCATTGGCTCATTGAATCACTCCTAAGATTTTGTGGAGGGGAGATGGTTTTTATCTTCATTTATAAGTGATGCAAACAAAACACAGAGAGGCTAAGTAAACTTCCAAGGTTCATACAGCTAGTTATTGAACAGGGTTGGAGGCCTGCAGTTTTCCCCGGTGTGGCTGGTTGCGTGGAATGTGGGTAATGAGCCACGCTGAAAATGCAGGATGAAATCAGGTAATCATTTCTCAAAATCATGCTGACGAACTAAATAATGGGTCCAAACTAAAAAGCATAAAATTCAGTGGGCATATATTCAAACCAACAATTCAGTTTTACAAATATTTATTGAGTGCCTACCTTGTGTCAGGCACTGATCTAGACATTAAGCTGTTGGTGAACAAAACAGACAAAAATCCCTGTTCTGGAATTTATATTCTTGTGAGTACAGAATAAAAATAAATGGCATAGAAAATAGTAGGTTAAAAGGTGATAGGTGTTGGGGGGAAAAACTGAGCAGGGTAGGGGGGATGGACTTGTGAATTATGAATGGGAAATCCTGTGTAGCCTACTTTGAGAAGGTAAATCTGAGGAGATTCACTGGAAGAAAATGGACATCTGCTGGAAAAACATTCCAGATCTAATCAAAGATCCTGAGGTAGCATGTGCCTGGTATATATAGTATACAGTCTATTCCTATGTCCTGAAATCTACTTCAGGGGAAGGAGATGTGCTAAGTAAAGTGAAAATTATATATTGGGATAATAGCTCCTGTATATACTTCCTATGTACCAGGCATTGCATTAAGTGGTTTACATACATTTTCTCATTTAATCCCTATAGCAATCCTGTATGCTAAGATGTTTATCCCATATTACATGGGAAAAAGCTGAGGCCCATCGAAATTTGTCCAGTCAGTTCAAATCCAGATTAGTCCTACCTCAAAGCTTATATTCTTGCCACCACCATAATTTGCCTCCCTATAAAAAAATTAACCATTTGCTGAGCACCTCTACGTGCATATATAATCTTTTACTGCACTACAACTTATGTCTCATTTGTAAGATCACTGCTTGAGTTGAGAAAATACAGAGAAAAGCGCGAGACCCACGTCAACCTCACAACTCTATTAAAAACACAAAGAGTTCTGGGGCGCCTGGGTGGCTCAGTTGGTTAAGCGACTGCCTTTGGCTCAGGTCATGATCCTGGAGTCCCGGGGATCGAGTCGGGCTCCCTGCTCAGTAGGGAGTCTGTTTCTCCCTCTGACCCTCTTCCCTTTCATGCTCTCTATCTCTCATTCTCTCTCAAATAAATAAATAAAATCTTTAAAAAAAAAAACCACCAAGAGTTCAAATGTCAATGAGTCCTCTTTTTCTTTCATCTATTAATACATCATCTATTTATTAAGGACCAATTATATACCAGGCACTATTCTAGGCACTGAGGATACAAAAATCCCTGGCCTCTTGGAGCTTGCATTCTAGCGGGCAGCTCTTTTAGCAGTTAATTCTGCAATTACCATTGTTAACAGTACTTCAGACTTTTCAAAATGCTTTCAAAGACATTATCTCAAGTGCCCAAGAGAAATAAACAAGCTCTTAATGATAGGATTCATTTTCTTCTTAGTGCTTATCTTCTTTTCAGCCAGCCATCTGACCAGTCCCACAATAGGTTTGCATTATCCCCGTATGAAAGGTGGGGGGATGGTGCATAGCGATGCAGTGACATCTAATAAAAGCATAGATCCCAAGGTCTTCAAAATCCCTGTCAGGGCCACCTCTAGTCTTTATGGCATCATTGTCCAAATTAGGAAAGGTGTCTCTCTCTCAAGATACATTCATCAGTGGTAAAATTGTTTCATAAACATACAAATCTACAGTGTGTATGATATGACTGGCATTCCCTTAGGTGTTACACATTTGCCCATGGCAGCCCCACTCTCCAGCCTGAATGCTTCCCACCAGATAGGAGTTAATGAGTACCAAGCTCCAGCCACAACCTTGTAAGAAATGTCGATTTATTTTCTTGCAACTAAACTTAATTTATATTCTGGGTTCCCATCCCATTGGCACTGACCGCCACCCCCCCCAACCAGGGAGAGGATGCCAGGCTGTAGTTGGTTGCCGAGCATGCTGCATCCCTGAAGCGGTCTGTATTCCCCTCATTGGGTGGAGCCAAGGCCCCTGAGCATCTCAGAACTTGCAACAGCACAAAACCATGCAGGGAAGACTTGTCGTGCCCTAAATGCCCATAGCGCCCTCTCCCTTTGAGAAATACACTCAGGTTTGTCCTCCAGTGACCTAGAAATTCAAAGCAAATTTGAGTTTACAGAAGCACTTTTCCAATATTAACTTCTTTTTG